TATATGCCTACCTTACACGCTACCTTACGCACTACGCAATACCTAATTACGTTAGTCTTTTTTCTTACTACGCTACTTTAACGTACTACTTATAATAATTATAGTTATATACTCTATACGTATTATATTATATATATACACTAATATACTAAATATAGCTTTACATTTAGCTACTCTTATAGAAATACTATTACTAGTAATATTATAATACTATTACTATTACTATCTACTACTCTACTATATATATATAAATACCTATACTAATATAATACTTAACTAATATATTATACTACGCGCCTTAGTACTTAAGTAAGAAGAAAATACTTCTCTAGATTATTCTATACCTTTAGCGCCTCTATAAATTCTACTTTAGTATTACTTATTTTCTACTTACTAACCTAAATAATTAATGCCTTTAGTAGATTATTCTACTTTTTTATAAACGTATTCTTAGCGCCTTTTAGCTTACTTATCTTTTATTAGCCTACACTGCGCAGCTATATACTTACTATATACTTACTTACTTCTTTATATTCTTAAAGAACTACCTAAATAGACTAAGCTATTACTCTAGCTTTAGCTTTAATACGCTAGTTACTTTTTTATTATTTTTAGTAACCTTAGCTGCCTTTCTATACGCAACTATCTCTACGCTTAGAAACTTTAAGTCTATCTTATTTATAATCTATATTAGATAGCTTTCTAGATTTATATATAATTAGCTACTATATATATATATATATACTATAGAATACCTACTAGTTATAACTAGTTCTAGAATAGAAGGCGTTATCTTATTTAAACTTATTTAATCTTATTTAAACTTATTTAATACTTTTAAATATTCTTAGAGAATATTTTATAGAAAATACTTCTTTAGATTAAAGTTCTTATAAATGCGCTATACGCTTCTTTACTACTACTTTCTTACATCTAATATCTTGCATATAGTTCTTAGCTCTTTTTCTCTCTTTAGCTTTTTAGCTACTACGCTTTAGAATATAACTTAAATTAACTTAGAATATCTACTACATTCTAGCTACTTAACTTACACTTACTATACTTATACTTTCTATTCTGTTTGTAGCTACTATAATTACGCTTACTACCTTTTCTTAGTCTTAGTATATTTCTAATATAGTATACACGCACGTACTTATACTTAATTTTAAATTATAAATTTACTATATAATCTTAGATAATTTAAAAGCTATTATCTAGAGAAGCTTAGATAGAGAAAGTAGTAGGTAATTATAGATATTATAGAATATAAGCGCTATATATAAATATCTCTTAGTTTCTACTAGAATAAATACGTAGAAATAGTGTATATAGAGTCTATATAATAGGTACTTATTAGAGAATAGATAGAGTTTCTAGGCTTCTTAGAGGTAGTTAACTACTAGATATAGTTAGATTTATCTTAGTATAGTCTATAATATATATATAGTATTACTTTTTATTACTACTATTTTACTAAACTATTATACACTTAGCTAGAAGTATAGCCTACTAATTCTTACTAAACTAATTACGTAAGAACATAATTTCTAGGTAGTAATATAGATTAATCTTACTAATTTAGTGCTCTCTACAGCGTATACTAGGTATACGCTAGTTAATATAGACTATATACTAAGCTAGATTAGAATTTAGTATCTATAGTTATTAGTATAGACTTAGTAAGATCTATTAGATATAGAGGTAAGAGATGTAATAGATAGTAACTAAGACTTATTACACGTATATATAAATTATTCTCTTATAGTATTATAGAATAGTAGATAGTAGCGTTATAGTTATAACTATAAACTTTACCTCTTTAGTAAGTCTTAATATAACCTAGATAATACCTAACACTATTAGATAACACTAAAATAGATTCTAAGACTATCTACTTACTTATATACTATATCTTAAAGTGTAGAAATATTATTTATAAGTCTAATCTAGCGTAAGATATTTCTAATATTATAATTATAATAAGAGTAAGATAGATCTTATACTACTAGGCTTAACGCTATATATACTTTAATACTAGTGTAGTTATAGACATAGTAATAGCACTCTATATTATAGAGTAATATATATTAGGTAAGATTCTTTTAAGTATTCTTATAGGTAGTATAATTAGTTTTCTATTATAAGAAAGTATAATACTATATATTCTACGTTATAGTTAGCGTATATAGAAGAAACTAAGATAGTATCTATACTTTAGTAAGTGCAAGCGCGTCTTAGTAAGTTTTAATACCTAGAATATTAATAATATACGCTATTCTATTCTTAGATATTCTAGAAAATATTAGCACTACTACTATTCTAAATACATAAGTTATAGTAATAGGTTTTATCTAAGAATTAGGTTATTTTTGCCTAGATATCTATATAATAGTCTTAGAACTAAACGCATACTACTAATATATAAGACCTAGCTAAGTTATATCTAGAGTTAATATACTATAGTGTCTTTAGAATTATTACTATTAAAAGAAGTGTTAGACTTATCTAATAAGAGTAAAGAATCTAGTTCTAGTACCTAGTCTTATTAGACTAAACCTAGAAGTATCTACTTTGTTAGCTACTTACTAGCTCTTCTTCTTTAAAATAATTAATTACGTTCTATATAGGTATTAGCAGCTCTAGTATTAATACGCTATTAGACACTTACTTAAAGTTAGAGTTTATCTTATTTTTAAGAATAAGTTTCTCTAGATAGATTTAAATTAAGTTAAATTCTAACGTAGCTTAACTTAATAACTCTATACCTAAATAAGATAGTATACTATTTATATAAACACGCTTATTTAATATAGATATAACTAAGATAAATTACTTAGTTAAGGCTAGTATTATTATAGATAAACTATAGAATATAATATCTAATCTATAGTTACGCAGTATAGACTAGCTCTAGCTTAACTAGAATAAGTCTTACTACTATAGTAATAAGAATACGTAGAGTTTAGGTAACTAAGTAAAAGAGCTAAATTATAACTAAGATAAATTAAACGCTAATAAGAGTAGTAGAGGTAGAGGCATAAGATAGTAGACTACTAGATGTAGAGGTACTACTTCTTAAAATGTAGGTAGAGCTAAATATAATTACGCTAGGTATAGACTTAGTATATACTCTAACGTAGAAGTGTTAACGCTGTATATATATATATACTAAGTATAGATAAAAAGTAGTAGTTATAGTAAGTTAGAACTAGGTTAGAACTAAGTTAGAACTAAGTTAGAACTAAGTTAGAACTAAGTTAGAATCTAGTTAGAACCTAGTTAGAACTAATAGCTAGTTAGTCTGCTAAGTAGTAATCTAGTTCTATCTAACTCTATAAATAGAAGCTATATAGCTACTATAAGTAGTCTAAATATAATCTAAACTATAGCTTTACTTTCTAGACGCTATTATAACATTAAGTTATAACTAGGTTAACTTTTAGTTGTAGTAATAGGCTAGGCTAATAGTAGTAAGCTGTTATCTTATATAATATTAGCTTAATAATAAGAATAGCTATATAAGTATACTTATTATAATATAATATAAAGCTATGTAGTAAAGCTAAGTATACTAAAATATAACTAAGTTAAATATAGTATATAGAGTGTTAGTAGAGTAATAGAGGTGTAAAACCTAAAAGCTAGCTAACCTTAGAATTTCTAAGGTTAGCTTACTAGTGTCTAATTCTGTCTAATTAAAGGTTAGCTAACTAAAGTCTAGAGGTTAGCTAAACTACACTGTCGCATTAATAGCACTAAAGAGCGTAACGTATCTAGCAACGTTGGTTTCTCTCTCTAATTATTGTTTAACGCGTCAACGCGTTTCCCCCCTGTCTCTGCACAGACCACCACTACACACCGCTTACTCCCGCTTATCTCGAACGCGCAGCGTGAAAGATTCGCCGAAGTTACTGTTAAACACAGAAAAAGCAAACAAGGCGCGCCTTAAACCGCAGCGATGCCTCCTAAGGTTGGTCGCCCTGGTTGTAGGCGGCGAGAGAACCGGGCCGCTAAGCCCCTAAGGTATTACTACCTACGTGCAAACAAAATCTTCTTGAAGTTTACGCTATTGCAGAAGGATCCCCTAGAAAGCCTAGAATGCCGAAGTCAAACGTAAGAAGCAAGCCTGCCGTCGTCTAGCAGTAGCCTTTATCGACAAGCTTGGGAGAGATTTACGGGACGAAATATACCTCATCCTTTCTAAGAAGGCAGACAGTAGCAATGTCGACGTCGAAGGCTGTAAGACCGGCAAGAATTTCTACGTTCAGCCACTCTTGCGGATATTCAGCCCCGACTACGTCGGTGATAAAGTCGCCTTTGAAGCTGCGACTTTTCTCTGTGCTCGGAGTGACTATGAGTGTTATGACATTAGACAACTCAATGCGTTGCTTACGGATAACAAAATCCATAAGCGCGTCTTTCCATACCAGTGGTTGTCGCAACTGCATCTCACCATCAACATCGAAGATGTTACCGCTCCCAGATACAAGGCCAACTATGGCAATGACTCGGCCATTGTCCGGGAGCGGGAAGAAAGTCTTGATCTAGAATGGAAGCTCCATTCATATATTAACACGACCTTCAATTCGAGCTTTGCGCTTTTGTTAAAGGCTGAGCGTATATCCCACATGAAAGTTCACATCATGTTAGAATTGGGATCTTATCCGTATATGGACTCACCAGACACGGAGTCGCACATGGCTATGCTGGACGTCGAACGCAGCTTTCTCAACGTTCTGGAAGACATGCGCAAACCTGTATATGATTTAGTACACGCTGGGGCCAGGGTAATAATCACATGGGACGAGGAGAGGGAACCTCGTTACCAGCCCGACATGCGGGGTGATCCTCTTCAAAGGCCTTTAGTCGGATTGTTCCACCTAAGTAAGAAGGATTGGGAGGAAGTATGTAATGAGCCTCGCATGCACACTATTACGCACACAAAGTCCAAAACCACCGTACTGACTTTCTTAAACAGGAGAGAGCCAATGGCCTGAATGACCATGGTGATTATCTCGGGATTCACTACAATCAGAGAATGATTCAAGAGTTATGGAATGGGGGCCGATACTGCGAGATGTTCGCCAACATGCTTCCTGAATTCAGAGAGCGCTGGGGATACAGCTCATTCAGGAAACTGGTGCACATCGGGCAGCGTTGGAAGCTAGAAGATAGCGAACACGAGAACGGGTCTTCGTCAGGACCGAGCACGTATGATGGGAGCGACGAGGAGGACGAGGAGGACGACAACGATATTGAAGAAGATGAGGACGATGAAGGCGATGACGACGATGAGAACGATGAGAACGATGAGGATGACGAGGATGATAATGGACAGGCATACTACCACAGCGATGGCGATAGTAATCAAGGAGACTATGAAGCTACCTATGACGACATGGAGCAATGGGGGTATTAGCCATGAGGGACCAGAAGACGAAAGCACATTACTTACTCGTATGCTCATAGCCCTGAAACGCGTGCCTAGGTATCTAAGATCATGTAGATGATTAGCAATGTGGCCCTGCGTCTGTCCGACGAATTGTTTGACGCGTCAATGCACGGACCATGAGCACGTGGCACACACCGCATCTCGTGGGCCTACGTAGGCATCGACCACGTTTAACGGACTGTTCGCAAGCAGCAAAAGCAAAAGACAGCGCAGTGATGCCTCCAAAGGGCAATCATGGCGATGATGCGCGTCAGAGGAATGGGGCCAACAAACAACCCAGGTATTGCAAGTCCAGCATCGTCGTTGCCGCCTTCCGGAATGTTCACGCCTATGCAGAAGGATTCACTACAAAAAGCGGCAGACCAAGTCCCAAGTCGAGCAACAGGCATGCCGTCGCCTAGCCATCGGAATGTATTCCAAGTTGCCGCGCGAACTACGGGATATTGTCTACGGATACGCCATCAAAGAGCCGTTTTTGATCCGCGTGCCCGACTTCCAACAACTGAAAAACGCCGAGGTGCCATCGACAAAGCGCATATACAGCCAATTCTACGTTGGTGTGGAAGTCGCACGCGAGGTAGCAGAGTACTACTACTCCAAACAGTACATCATCGCCAAATTCCAAACTCTAAGAGAAACCCTTACTCAAGACGTCTTTCATTTAGGCGTTAAACCCTACATGCACACCCGAGAGCTGCATGTTCTCATCAACAATGACAAGATCAGCGGCTGTCTTGTGAAAGAGGCAGGGGCAGACGCCAACGGCCGACTGATTGAGAATGTATACGTGGAAAACTGTATAGCGCAGGAGAAAGGAAACCTAGATGATCTGTACCAGAAGCTTGAAGCTGGCTTTGCTCTCTTCAAAGGAGAGAGAGAGCCGTCGTTGCTGAAGCTCCGCATCATCATCAAGATGTCTGGGTACTCCCACGCTTACTATGAGCACACCCAAGAAGGCGTTACCGCCATGCGGGATTACGAACGCAGGTTCATGAATATGTTGGAAACAATACGAAAACCGGTATATGACATGATACACGCTGGGTGTAATGTCGAAGTTAAATTTGAAAAAGAAATGATCAGCGCCGTGGACCGCTATTGGGGCGATGGCACAGACAGTGGCATTGAAAGCGATTCGGATGAGGAGACCGATATCTATATGCGTCTGAATCTGACACCGGCATTATTCCATCTTAGCAAAGAGGAATGGGAAAAGGTTTGTAGCTCTCCTAGGCGCACCCCCCACCACGAGCCACACTAACACCCCCCACCTTCCAGGAAAAAGCCACAAACGTCTACATCCACGGCCGCTACAACCCAAAATCACACTACAAATCCCACATCCTACTCCGCTACACCCGCATCAACAAGCACTACCAAATGGACTTCGCCCGCAACCTGGCCGAGTACAGAGCGAGATGGGGTTATACATCATTCGAGAAGCTGTTGCATGTTGGAAAATACATCTATGGGCCGGAAGACGGCAGTGACGGTAAGAGCGAGGACTCGGGCGGCTATTCGATGCCGTGGCATAGGAACAGCAGTGCGTATAGTGACAGTGAACGCCCGGATGGTTGGACCCATTGGTCTGAGGAGGACGAGGATTATGAGGATGGAGATGTGGGTCGTCATAGCGACGACAGTTTGGACGAATGGGCAATGGCCCAGATTGCCTAGCTGTGATGGGAGGTAAGCAGTACGAAAGATTGGGGAGGAGAAAGGACCGAGGAACATAGCGACGACACACAAAGTACACCTTGCCACCAATCGATTAAACGGACCAAATCCAAGCCCGTTGAGGGACTACCTAGGGATCAAACACGCTCAAATCTATGAAATCCAACGCTAGCCACCCATTGTTGAAAGTGCGTCCCCGCAGCTCACACTACTCCATTCGCGGCAGTCTTGCTCTCAGCGCCATTCTGCAAGACCTCATTCGCCTGCTTGATCGTAGGCACCGATTCGGACGGAACGACGAGCGACGCGCCGTTGACAACGCCGTTAGTGGAGTCTTGGTGCGGTGCTTGGAGTCCTTGGCGGACCTTCAGCACGCTGTCTACGATGACGGCGTCGATGCCTTCGTTTCGTTGGAGCTGTGTTGTTGTTAGCAAATGTTGCCTAAAGTGAAAGCCTATGAGGGAGTGACTTACGAGGACGTTCTTAGGATCGTTGTTCAGTATGCCGTACGAGACGCACACCAAACCACTTTCCTTCACCACCTTGACGAGTCGCGGGCACATGACCAAGGGCTCAGCAGCGGTAACGACTCCCAGCAGATTCCAACGGCTAGCAAAGCGGATGCCTTCTTGTAGACTGGCTGCTCGCACATCGCCCACGGGCAAAGTTCCCGCGTCGGTGAGGAACAGTACGGGAATTGAGGGCTGCTTGAAGGACAGCATCAGGCAGACGTCGGGGTTAAAAGATGAAAAGATAATGTTCCGTTGGCCCATCCTGTCGTACACCTTCTGCAGCACTGTATCGACGAACTGGTTCAGCTCAACGGCGTACTGGTCCATCTCCTCATCCTCGGTCTCGTAAAGCATAGGGTACTTGAATTCGACGTTGAACCCAACGGATTCAGGCAGCTCATCGAACATACGGTCGAGAGTCGTGAATGAGGACTGGATGGATGTGCCACGGTTGTTGCCCTTGAAGCCCTTCTTCATAAAGTCGCGGGTGTACTTCATTCGCTCCGCGAGCTCGTTCTGACGATCAGTGTGAATGTTGCGCTGTTTCGAGTTATCGACTGAGTACGATCGGGGTCTCCGGGTATTGGGCTTGTCATCTGAGCCATTCGCACCGTTCAGAACGGGCACAGTCTCTGGTGACCCAGCGCGAGACGACCGTGGCTTCTGGCCCTCACCGATGTGCAGGAATTGGTCCAGTGTAAGCGTGTGTACGGGTGCATCAATACCAGTTTCGCTAACCAAGAAGTCGTGATAGATGACGGGCACATGGTCTTTGGTTAGCTGAACGTCGAACTCCACGTACTCGGCACCCAAGTTGGCAGCGGAAATGAAGGATTGAATCGTGTTCTCGCCAAGTTGTAGCGACGTGCGTGAGGCGGTGTTCTTTCCTAGACCGCGGTGGCCGATGACCATGGTCGATGCAGCCATTTTCTTCCAGTAGGTATGCTGTTCTGTGATCGACATGCTCGGGTGATGGAAGGGCGTAATGATCAAGAAGTTGAAGTTAACTGTGCCAATTACGTCCAGTGTCGAAGCAGCCACGATTGGTACCTTCATGTCTCCCTGGAGCGAGATGCGCTTAGATCCAATACTGGTCTTGATGGTCGACAGCAATGCCACAGCTCGTCCCACTACACGCTCTTGAGAACCCGCATATGTTGGGATAATGTCGAAAAGTAGCTTGACTTTAGTGGCATCGCTGGTCATGAAGGTGATTGGCTCGGTCGCAATGTTTTCCTGGATGGGCAAGTCAATGACCGAGGGTTCTCCGTTTGCGCCAGACGCATTAACAACCACAGACAGAGCGGTATCGAGTTGCGTCGCGTGTGCATCGGCAAGAGGGATATCGTCCAATTTCACGGCGGGCACATCTTTCCTGGCGTCCATTGAACCAAGGCTGACAAGAATCATTGTCTCTTTGGTCAAGTAACGATGGCCAAAGGTCTTCACGGGCTCGGGCGCCTTTTGAACAGGCGTATTGGTGTCTCGGTTTAGATTCTTAGACCTTCGCTCGTCAAGGGAGGATTGTGTAGGCGAGCCAGCTCGAGCAATACGCGTATCCTTAGGCGCGACAAGAGGCGGCTCTGTCGCAGGAGCAAGTTCCCCTAGTCTGATCGCTACCGCAATGTGACCACGAAGCGTGGCGTGCTCCTTTGCTGTCCAGCCAGAGTTGTCGCACCTCTGGAGATCAGCTCCGGCCGCAGCAAGAATCTCCACCATGGAGAGATGGTCGTCGACAGCAGCAATAAACAGTGGCGTCCAAGCGAATGTCTTCTCGGCGACATCGACCTCCGCCTTATTCACACTGGATCCTCCCAAGAGAACCTTGGCGCACTCGTCGTAACCGTAGCGTGCCGCCATGTGTAATGCGGTCTCTCCGCCCTCATCCCGGTAGTTCACGTCCACACCCGCTTCGACCAAGAGCTTGACGATGTCTACGAAGTTGGACCGGGTTGCTAGGGTCAAGGCTGCTCCCGATCTCGCGATGTTTTTACGAGATGTAAGGCGTTCTTCTGTGGTACCGCGCCAGTTTTCCGCATCGAGGAGGGCTTTCGTGGTGAGCGGATGTCCGCCCATTACGCTGAGATGCAAAGGAGCGTTACCCTCAGCATCCTGCCAGTAAGCGGAGTCGATTCCCTGAGCGACGTCGAATTGGCCCCAGTCTTGCATGTGCTTCATAACGACCTGGCAAATGACGACAAATCCATATTGCGCAGCATAATGGAGCGGGAATCTGCCATAGGAGTCGCGAGATTGGAGCGCGTTGCGTTGCTCAGCCTGGAGCTGATCGAGGAGGTAGACGAGTAACCGTACCGACTCATCGTTCTCGCTGAGTAATTGCGTTGACTCTTCTTCAGTGGTGGTGCAAGGGCGAGGTTGGCGATTGGGATCCGTCGCAGGCACAATGAAGTTGCGTGTCTCGCTAGAGCTCTGGAGAAGGGTTCCATCAGCACCAAACGTGTCGCCAGTCTTCGATCGACCGATATTGATGACAAGTCGGTGGATGCAATTGCGCTTGTTGATGTCGTCTTCCTCATCTAGTGAGATAATGTCCTTGAGTAATCTCTCGATACATGACTTTGCCCGGCATGAGATGGCGCGTTGCAAGAAATTCAGGAGTACTTGCTGGAACGAAGCACTCGAAATGCCATTGCTCGCAGCAGCTTCTGTGAGTTTCTGGTTGAGATCTTCGACCTTGTCGCCCCGAATAGCCGTATCCACAGCGTCGAGCAGGCCCGCGGGAAGGTGTAACGAGCGACCTGGAACTCTGCCCAGAGA